GGTGCCCGTCGCTGCCACAGCCCCAGGAAGCGCGGGGAGGGGAGGAGGGGGGGTCTGTGTTGGCCAGATGAAAAGAAAGAGGAAACACAGGGAGTTTGGTAACTCTGGCTCTGAACTCGTTGGTGGTTCCAGAGAGGCAGCCCCAAGGGGATGGGAGTCCCTTTGATTTGAGGACAGGTGGGAATGGAAAAGCACCACTCGCCCACCCACCCAAGTGCTGCAGGGTTTACTGGGAAGGCTTTTTTTGCCCTTTAAACCAGTGAACCTGAGCAATGTCTGACCTTAAACCCAGTGGGAGAGGGAGGGCAGGCACGAGGAGACTTGTTTTATAGCAGTTGTAATTCATGTTTTTATACCAGGTCAGCAGACTTGTGAGTGAGCAATGCAGAAATATGGGTTATCACTGTCTTCTGGAGACACCATCCTAGCTATCAACTCAGTGAATTCAGAGCCTGGCTCCTGACAGTTGTTTTATTGTGTTTCCTGCTTGCTGTAAACCTGAGACAGATCACACAAGGGTGAACATTTTTGGTGTTTTAGTGGCTAAAGTTTCATAGTACAGTGTAATAACTTCATGGTTACTGCAGGGCTGTGTGTGCTTGAGGCACTTTTCCCTTTACCAGGTATGATTTCCACTCAGAACTTTACTGCACACTAAATATATTCTGTTTATGAAGTGTGTGATTGGTATTTGTGAGGAGGAGGGGGAAAGGGCCGACCCTGGAAATGCACTCTGCAATTTCACATGCCGAGCAGGTATTTGGCATTTCACAGAGGATGCTGAGCAGGACACAGCCCTGCCACATGTTTCAGGCAGGTTTTGGTCATCTGTTTCAAGTGTGGCCATTGTGCTTCTCATGCCAAGTGATGTTATTTAGTTGGAGACCAATATCCTTGCCCTGCTGGACAGTGGGGATTTTAATTTTTAAATGACATATGTCAGTGATGACTCTGGTTTCTTTCATGCACGTTTCCTCTGCTGTGAGGTGAAGCTCTGAACTGCAGGCATCCTCAGCTCCCTGGGGTTTTTTTAGGCAGAAATCCTCAGGAGCTGGTTCATAAAACCTGAACTGAGGTTTCTGCTGGGGAAAGGTGTTTTTCTCTGGAAAGCAGTTCAAGTGACCAACACAGAGAGCAATGTCTCACTGACACATCCAGGGTGTGTTCGTGGTTCCTGTATCAGCAGATCAGAGCGGCTTCTGCTCCGTTTCTGACCAAACAAAATGCTGGTGCTTTGTAGACAGGAACAGGGAAGCTGAGTGACTTACCCAAGGTGATTTAAGGAGTCTGTGGCAGTTCTCAGACCGGGCACAGGATGCAGGGCCCGAAACACTGGCCCTCTTTCCTGGCTAGTTTTGCTGTCTGAGCTTGAACTGCTGCTAGATAGACAGAGTGTGCCTGAAACAGGCTGTGACCACCTGGTTAAGGGGCTGCCCCTGCTTCTGGGACCACCATTGGGTGTCTCAGTCAGTTCTTGGGGTCAGCACCAGCAGAGATCAGTGCTGGATGGGTGACTGCT